AAAATAAAGAAAGATAGATAATGGGATAATTCATGTAATAAATTAGTTTTTATATTATTATAGATCAAATTATAATGTAACACCAATTTATTAAACGGGTTTTTAAATTAAATATTAGTTTAATTAGATAAGTGGTGATAAAATCCTATTGGGACATTAGAAAAATCAATGTAATTCACCCTATAAATAAAACAAAGGAAAAGAACCACATGATCATCTCAACTGATGCAGAAAAGGCATTTGATAAAATCTAATCCCCTTTCTTGATAAAAATTCTCAGCAAAATAGGAATGAAAGGGGTGATGGTTAATGCTATGTGCCAACTTGGTTAGGCTATGATTCTCAGCAGTTTGAAATATACTATGTAATCACTTTCCATTTCATGATCTAATGTGAGCAGCTAACCAGTTGAAAGAGGAGTATCCTTGGTGGTGTGGCCTGCCTCCAATACATAAATATCACTATGAGTAGGAACTGACTCAATGACAGTAGATTTAGTTTTGGGCTATACAGTTGTCCCAGCACCATGTATTGAAAAGACTATCCTTTTCCCTACTGAATGATCTTAAAGCCTTTGTTGAAAATCAGTTGACAGTGTAGAGACAAGATGATGTCCTACTAACATATTCTGCTAATTCCCTCTACAATGAGGATCTTCTAAAGTGAGGACATCTTGAATAGAGATGCATATGCTGATGAGGAAGGGAGAAAAGAAATAAACACTTCATGGAATCCATACAGTGATAACAACAAAGTGTAGAGAGATCAAGAGGAACTCAAGGAGGAGGTCATTAACTCTCAACTATTCAGCCATTTCTACTGCACCGACCACCTCACCCAATAGACAAGCACCACTATCAACTCCTATACCACTAGATCAACAAAAAGACAGTGGGCAACAGTTGTTCATCCTAACTGCAGCTCCTCTTCACATCAAACAGAGACCTGCATCTACAGTCCCATCAATTATTCCATCAATCCAGAGACAGGTAACTTGGTGCTCCCAAGTTAACAGCCAAAGAAGCACACCTGCCCCACTCATCTGGATATATTGAAATGAACCCATACACAATCAACAAAGAAAAACAACTTCAAAATGTCTTGGAGACAATAGACAACTTCAATTCAAACAAAGAAACATGACAAGATAGTGGAAGCAAGTGACCAAAATAAGTAACTAGGAAATCTCCCCAAGGAAGAACAGGTAATAAAACTACCAAGAAGGAATTAAAAATATATATGTGTGTATATATTTATATGACCTTCCAAGAGCTCAAGGAAACCATAAACAGAAGCAAGGAAAAGACAGACAATGCCCTTGAAGAATTCAGGAAAATCATACAAGAACAAAATGACAAAATAAATAGACAATTAGAAATCATACAAAACAGCAATTAGATATCTAAAAGATGAACGAACACTAATATTACGGAGGAGCTCTGGTAGCATAGTGGCTAAAGCACTTGACTGCTAACCAGAAGGCTGGCGTTTCAAACCCACCAGCCACTCCTCGGAAGGAAGGTTGGGCAATCCTACTTCCGTAGTGATACTGCCTCGGAAACCCAAGGAGGGGTCGCTATA